TATATATATGTGCTTAAGAGAGACAAAAAATGGACTAAAAACACAACGTTCAAATATATAAAATTAAGCACATCTTATCCATTACTCGCCAAAAAGATAATACAAATCGAATAATTTACATGAAAAGCCCAACCAACATTTTGAGTACAAAACTGTTGCAGTCGAATGAAACTCTTATTCTCAATCTCTTTCGTCTAATTTTAACGCAGTCATAAAAATTATGAAGCGTGATGTCTGTATGCGGTCTTTTCATACATTCATTCAACATCGATGGGAGGCTGTCGTTTGGTTTTGTCTGGTCTTATTTAATATTATTTAGCTGTGTAGACTTTGTCCGCGACCTTATTTGATATACAGTTATTCGATACTTTAGTTTCTATTAACGCAAATATTAGTATAGATGATTACCTTACGATCACTTACATGTATATCGTGCGATGAGATCTTATATCTGTAATTTTCAATTTACGTATATAAACTTCTTGATGTAAACGTTTTTCAGGTAATAAAGGAAGAGAATTTATCTCTTCCATACGCGGTCTTTATGGACGAGGAGTACCCCTTGTGCTTGTGCACACACACACGATGGATATCGTGTTGTGTGAATTTTACATGATTTTGTGGATTTGGATTCTTGCTTACGATAATTCCTGGCTCATGGTTGCCCTTCCTCATCTATGTTTGGAGGTTAGGGCGGTGTTCCAGCGCTATGAGATGACGAGCCGGGATACTCATGAATATTGGCAGATGCACAATCTATAGATCCTTTAAGAAGAAAATTAATTTTAATAAAGTCCTCGTTTATGATGGATGTTGAGGACTTGCTGCAGCGTTTTTGAAGTTTTGTTTCGCACACAACATGAACTGATTGAATCCTAAGAGAAGAAGATGCGTGAAGACATGATTGGTGTTTTTTGGATGCTAAATTGAAGCGGCGATTGGAAATTTATAGGATGCTAACAACAGTTACCTTGAATGTTAAAGAAGCGCGGTTTCGCGCAGAGGTTCTTCTAGAATACCTCGAACAGGCACAGTGCGAAGACGAAAATCTCAATGAAAGGAATGACACGCATCTTCTTCGATTTACGAAGGGTCTACTTGGAAGTCTGATGAATGTGAAGAGCAATTTTTGGTAAGTGGCGATTGCAATTTGGTAATCAGGATTTGCTTGCTGATAACATAATATTAAATGAAGTTTGAAGATTTTTGCGCATGACATAACTTCTAAAAAGAAGTCCTCACGTGCCATTATCCCCATGAATTGTGGACCAATGGCTCAAGAAACAATGCATATTGGTCGATGGAATACTAATTGCGCAGCACACAAAATGCGCAAGATATGGATAACAATAAGTGAAGAAGGACATATGACCTTCAGTCAGCGAGGATCCATTGCACACTGGCATACAATTAAATGGTTTTCACTGCTTTGAATTTTAGCAGTGGCTTTATATAGGATTGTAATACTAGTTCGAAATGAATAGTTGATGGTATAACTTACCAGATCAAAGAAAATTTTTGTGCGCGAAGTATTCGCTTCCACACTCTTGCTCATGAGTTTCAATGAAGCTATGGCTGCCTTTATTTTTACAGTTCTCATGAATATAGACCAATGGCTCAAGAAACAAGCATATTGGTCTATAAAACACTAATGTGCGCAGCCTACGAACCACACAGAATATGAATAACAATGGATAGGATGGATACACGACCTTCATTCATCGAAGGTTTAAACGCAGTCTAATGTAGTTGAATAATTTACAGCCAGCGGGAATACTCAAAATAATTTGCTGGCTTACAGCAATCTCTCTCTGGCTAATTTGAGATTGGTTTCGAGATAAGCGGAGCTATTATGTCTACAAAAAGTGGTTCATAGCTTGCCAGATTAAAGAAGGTCAGTCAGAACTTACACGATTAAAGAAGAAGAGTGTGAAGCAAAAAATATCTGGGAACTTCTCGCGTTCCATAGTTCTGCTCTTTAATCGTAAATAAATGGCACAAGAAACGATGCACATTGGATTATAGAGCGACAGTATGCACTGGACATAAGCCACACAAGATATGGATAACAATGACTGAGAATGGATATCCTTATAGTATCACTGAAGCTTTTGAAGGTTAGAATTCATTGCATTGCTTTTATATTTATTGATTGTTATCATAAATGATCGCTTCATTTTAATTTGTAAACCGTTGACCATATTTAATAAGCTTTTAAAATTTGATATTTTCAGAATAAAATAACAAGATTTTTATTTAGCATTCAAAAAAAAACTTAAAACCAATAAAAAACTACACAGAATTTATTTTATCATGTATGTTATGATCTTTGTAATACTTTTAAGTATTAAAAAAATTGTAGTTTCAGTGAATGGAGTTACTCAAAAGAAGAAGTGATCATGATTACTCTTTTGTGAGATGTATCGGAAACATTATCAAAAATTACACTAGTGATTTTTGTTGGTAAGCTTTTAGCAAGTTTTTTAGATTTTTTTTGCACTTTGGAAAAATATTTTTCTTGTTACAGTCATAAATACAAATTTATTTTCATTTCAGTAAAATACATAAACGGAAGCTCTTGACAGCAGTATTTAACAGTCATTTTAAAAAGATTTTAAAGACAAATGTTTCTTCCAGTTATTTGCTTCATGCTTATATCTTAGTAATAGGTATACAGAGGGCTCTTCGATTCTCAATTTGTATATTTTCAGGACTGAAAATTTGGCTTTGAAATAAAAAATGCATCAAATGATTCAACTTTTCCAATGAAGAAAATGAATATTGTTTCGTCATTAAATAACGTATTGTATTTTAAGCTTATTTCTTATTATTCTTGTTTTTTGTATTAATATGTTAGATTGATTTTGTCAAAAGTGTATAATCTTTGTTTTCAGTTTCATGTAATAACATTGTAAAGATAATGATGCTGTAGAACAGAAATAAAGAATCAAAATTTTGTTGTCTGTTATTTAAGCAAAGAAGCAAAGAACATAATAAAAGTCAGCTAAGTAAACAAGAGAAAACCCAGTCAATAGAACTTTCATTCAATGCACTAATTGTCTCGTGTCTCAGTTCACAAGGTGATCGGCTTGTATTTCTCGTGAGATTTAAAAATTTTTATCAAATAATCATGCATACCTTGGTCATCAAGTTGGTATAATTCGTCAATTCCATTCTGTGGCAGTTATAAATCACTACATAATCATCTTACAAAAGTTGAACACTGATACGAATTAGTTTAAAATTACCTCCAGAGTAACGACTGTTTAAAAGTTTGTATGACAGCAATTAATTTTTTCCAATAAATTTTCATACAAGGAATTGCTGCAAGCAACGGTTTTTCAGGTGCGAACTTTTGATGTTTTTCCGTCATTATGTAGCTGAGTAGCTTAGCATTAATGGCACAACTAAAGCAAATGTCATCCCGATTTTGGTGAGTTACTGTATTCGTTCATTTCTCTCGGGTTTTCTATAGGACATACAATGTTAAACTTCAGCAATAAATAAAATACTGACGAAATGACAATTAAAAGTGCCATTGATAGTAAATATGCAGTAGCAGTAGGTTGTAGTTGAAAGCAACACTCCGTACCTGTTTCACCGCAGCAGGTATATAAATGTAAAACTGAACCCATTTGACATTGAATGTGTCTGAAATGAATAAAAATGATCTACATTTAATTTTTTATGATACTAAGGTCAGAGATTTTGTTTACCACAGTTTGTATCAAAATGTAAATAGTCCAATAAGATGTATTCGAATTTTTTTAAACGAAAACTAATCTTGCATTTTCTGAAATAATCATGCTGATATTTTTCTTCATAGACTTGCAAAGTGTGCTTCAGAATTTATTTATTAATCATTAAAGATAAGATGAATGCGCAAATTATTTTAAATAAAAAAAAATTACGATATTAGTAATAGTCTTTATAAAGAATATATATAATATCTTCATATATAAAGATGTATCAATAAACTAAATATCTTATGTTGTCCGACAAAAATAACACTGACAAAAATAAGCCTTATACCATTATGTTCAGAATTTTGCTTCCTTTATTTATCACATGGCAGCTATTAATTTATTGCGTATTCAAAAGTAAACTCACGCAAAATTTATTCGCAAATAAACATTCGATTAAATATTTTAAGTATAGATCTTTTTTGAAGTGTGAAAAAGAAACAATTACTTTTTTTTTGGTTTTTTGATCGTTTTTTAATAAGCATAATTACCTGCCAATGGTTTGGTTACGACACCATTGTCCATAATTTTTATTAGCCCACGATGTAGGCTTGGGATACTCCTCACGATCGTTGCTGACTACATCAGGCCATATTTCGTTGTTGGCGAGAATATTGTTTATCATATAACAAGCGAATATCAAACACGAAAAACATAGCCTTAACAACATCTATAAATAAAATATTAAATTATATAATTGACGATCAAATTTTATCATGCATAATTTCTTATCCTACCTACCACCATAATGCCTAATTTTAGGAACTGTATTTCAAAAAATTATGCGATAAGTTTTATGCATTTAAAATTTATTTTACTCATACAAATACGTACGCAATTATTATTTTCATTCATTATCTACATGAATCAGTAAAAAATTTCAGTTAGTACCGAAAGTGCATTAATTTTGACTGCATCATTTTGTGATTTTTATTTTAATCCAGTATGAAGTAATGAATTTTTAACTATAATATAAAGTAATGGCTTTTTAAATTTATTGTTTTTTCTTAGTTCCTAAAATAATCATGAAAAAATAATTAAATTTAGATATAAACTGCAGTTAAAAATAAAAAATTCATAACCTATATATATATATTAATATTAATATTGAAAAATTAATTAAAAATTAAATAATGTAACACTAAATACAAAAAAATAAGTATATACAGCATTTTTGGGTGATTTTAAAAGTCATTTTCATCACTTACATGATGGCGTGAAAAGAAAAGAAAAAATGTTTATTCTAACATATGTATCAGATCTAATTATTATAGAAAATGTAATGAAAACTTTGGAAAATGCTAATTTTCTTATAGTTATGATAAGCAATAAATAATAAATGAAAAAAAAATAACACTAATGATAAATGTTGATAAAATGATCTGAAATGCTTGTGTGGCAAGCAGTCAACGTTTTAGCTTTTTTCATTCTTATCTGCAACGAATCACTTTTTTATCTTTATCAGTTATTCCTTCAATTCTTCCATAATGACTAGTAATTATTCCAACACAATCCACAGTCGATTCAATTTTATGTATGATTAAGTGATGTAATTATATTACATTTTTAATTGTCAGTTCAATGTTAAGTATTTTAAACTAGTATTTAAATTGGCTCCATTTACGTTATTTGCTGATTCTCCTGTTAAATTTTTATTGAATGAATGAAATTTATAGCGAAATAATTTTTCAACATTTTATTGTGGCTGCTGCATAATTTAAATTGAATAAGAATTAATATTTATGTTAATCATTTTAGTCAAAATGTGTACAATTATGATTGTATTTTTTCTAGCAAAAGAATTTTTTGAAACCTCATATCATCTATTGTTGTCTTGCAATATTTAATGAATACGGAACTGAAGCAGTGATGCATTTAAAATTTAATATTATATGATTAAGCTTATCAAATTTTTAGTGTAAAATAATTCAGAATTAATGAAGAAAAAAAAATTAAGTGAAAATTATCTAAAAATACAAAGACTACAAGTAAATAGTAGTAGTAGTAGTAGTTCTCTCATGCTTCAATGCTACAAAAGTACTAATAAAGGGATAGGAGTTTAAATTGAAGTCAAATTTTGGGAAGATCTTAAATATGTTTTACTTTTTTTCAACATTGTAAGAAATAATTACAAAAGACAAAATCAGTGATAAAAAACTGAGGAAAAAGATTTGTGCCAATGACGCGCAACAAAACTGCAAAAAAGTGCTGTTGGCAAACAATTAAAATTCATAATTACTTATTAAAAAATTAATTGAAAAGAACTGGTTAGAGTGAATAGAAAGTATTTTGCACATATTTGTTCATTTTTTAGATAAACAATAGAATAAATAAAGTAAAGTAAATAACTGATTGTATAAAAATCAAATAAAATTTTCTTAAAACTTTTTTAACATTGTGATTGATTAATTTATCACATTTTAACTACATAACTTAACTAATTAATTGAATAGATGGTAGTCAGTGATTGATTATCTTGCGTAAAAATACGTTGAATCAGATAAAATTCGGACAGAAAAAAAAATAAATGTAAAATTTTTGATAAATAAAAAGTGATTATTTATGTTTATAGCATATTTGCATGATTATAACCAAAAATTGATCTAATTTTTGGCAAAATATAGCAAGAAAATAGTTTTTTTTTGTTAGTATTTAAAAGATTAAAGGAAAAAACAGTGCTCTCAGATGTAAATAATAGTGATATACTTCGATGAACAATAATAATAAAGGAACAGATTTGATGACAAAATGTTGCCCCCAAAATTTATCAATAAATTTTCAATGAGATTACCTAAATATTCTGATTCATCTGTTCATATCAGAGGTTTAACCCTTTTCCTTCCGCTGATGGCATTTTTGATGTTAAATAGATGGATTGATGGATGCATGCATGCAGCCATCTAGATAAATTTGCTAAAATTTACAAGTTCATAACATATGTTATGATTACAGATTTAAAAAATTTACTCTATCATCATCTTTAACATTTTCTGCCACTTTATTAGTGATAAGATTTTTTGATTAAATCAAATATTCATGTCTATAATAGTCGAAAATAACTTGCGTTTGAATAAAAAATCCAACATTATTAATATAATCATTATCAATCATGGTTATTATTTTTGCTGTTACAATCATTATAATGTGATAATTGATAAAAAATGTTAAACTTATTATAGTAATTAATAAAAGACATCATTACTATTAGAACTACAAACCTTTTCTTCTCAAGTATGAAAAAATTAAAATACAGAAAAAATACTAGACATAAATGAGTTTGAAAAAAATCAAAAAATCAATTTAATTTATCGGTTTTAAGTTATAAAGAAGAAATTTCAAGGTTAAATGTAATAACACACAGCAAACTGCAACAATTTTTGCCTTTTTTCTTTATTAGAAGCAACATTTTATTTATGATCAGCAAATAGCGCAAATAAGCTAAAGATAAATATTGAGGAGTTTAAAATTGAAGCAACAAAATTTGCAAAAATTTTTAAAGAGTTTTTAACAATTTTTTTGCACTCCCAAAAATAAAAAAACTTATTTTTATATAAATTAACTAATAAGCATTTTGAATTTAGAAAATGCTTGTGATAAAATGGAAATTATGAACACGACGAGATTCTAAAAATGCAGATAGAAATACAAACAAAGAAATAAGCAATATTTTGATCAGAATTTAATAATACTTAAATTTAAATGAATGTAAGGGCAAGAGTTAAGCAGTGGTTTTTCACACTGACAAAGACTTCTTTTTGCGAAAGAAAAAAGTGGCAGAAGAAAACGAGTAATTTGCTAGCAAACTACAAAATTATTCAAATTTAAGTTGAAGAAAAAATTTTTACGCTTTTATCTCGTCAATTTTATTAAATCAATAGAAATAAACAACAATACCACGTTGCTTCTACAAAAATAAACCTTAAAAATGTTCAAATTTTTCATTTAGAAAATAGCATTTCGAATTTAAAACTTTTGCAGCTTTTTAAAGTACACAGTAAGTGAAGTAATTGGAAAAAAAAGATTTCGCTCATACCAAGTTTCAAAAAAAAAAAAACATTAGTTATTTTTGAGCTTTAGAGCTTTCAAATTGAATTGCCATTATTAGTGAGCTATTTACAGTATTGCTATCTGAATAAATACAAAAAAGAAGCAAGCAAATTAAATTGTGCAATATTATGTATGAAATTTTAAAAGGCCGAATCTGATAAATCATTGACTTACCATTACTGTAAGAACTGATTTGGAAGTGAGCAGATGATTCAGTTTTACATTAAACAAAATGTTCAAAATTAGTTTCAAAGTTTTTTAATATTTTATGCTAATTTGATATCAGAAATAAATTTAAAAATTTATCATAAAACCTTTGTATATGTTGTTTGAAAAAAATTACTGTATAGGAGTAATTAAATGAAGTACGTAGCTGACATTTGCTTCAAAGTATTTTTAGAAAGTATAAAAACTTTTTGCAATTTAAGTAATGCAGTGGATGTAAACATTTGTTGCTAAATTTCGGTGTGGGAAACTGAATGCATTGCATTTTACAAACAATACTTAATAAAAATTTCTTGTATTAAATTAAACAAATTAATGTATAGATTCAATTTATTTCTAATTATATGCGCATAAACGAATTTCACGGAAAAATAATTTTATTTACGAATATCGTATACTACAAACAGCTATAAAGCTGTTGCTCCAATCTGATAATGAGTTAGAAATCACAAAACATACAACATGTGTATATGAACATAACAGAGATTGAACAATCCCTACAAAATTACTTTTGATCATTGCTAGAAATTTGTAAAAAAATGAATAACCAATGATTCTCAGTAAGTCTCGAACTTTGAAAACATTGAATTTTGAATAGTCTTATCGTGTCTAGAAAGCTCGAACTTTAGCAGCTAAATGTTTGAATATGGAACTATCATCTGGAAACTGCTTTTCAAATGGATCATCAAATTTGCATCCAATTTCAAATGCTGTTGGACTTGCTAGACATTTACCTGATCGCCACAAATACCATTCGCTGTCTTTTTGAATTAACTATAATTATAAATGATTTTCAAATAAGATTGATATCAGTAATTCTAACATTTTGGTATTTATTGTTAGAAATTAAAATATATAAAATTTAAATAGGGAAAAAATGTAAGGAAATAATTTTGTGAACACTTTTTTAACAAGTTTTTCAATAATGCATTCATATTTTTAAAATTTGAAAAGTTAATTTAATAGGGAAATTATTTTTTTTACCCCGTATGAAATGAATTTGAAGCAATTTTTATCTCGAAGGGATTTGGAATGAAATACTGAATGAGCATTCGGGCAAACAACTGCACAGTATACTTTGACATTTTCCCCAGATCCTTCCTGCAATACAAATTATTAATAATATATCATTTCAGTTCAGTAATTAGCCTGGTTAAAGTAGTTACTAAATTAAACAATCATCAATCAGGAAATACCAACTTTTGAAGTGCTATTTTTTTAAATTTATACCAATATTAATTGAAGAAAATTGACAAATCAAAATAATTTTGTAATGTTCAACTGATACAGCAATTAAATTTGAAGATAAACAAATTAATTTCTGTCTACAAGTTTTAATCATTTCCTACAAATAATACTTCTTTACTTCATTAACAATTTTGTAAAAATTATCTTGCTCTATACTCTTTCAAAATTGCTAGTGCAACAAATACCATGCATAAATATTAAACAATTAACAGCAAATGTTTAAAAAATTTAACTATTGCAAAAATTTATGAATTCCAAGTTTTTTTAATTCAGACATTTTAATGAAAAGTTAATTCCTTAACTTTGTGATTTAAAACAAATTATATGTCTGAAAATATTGAATAAAATGCATTAATTAGTATTTAAAAAAGTTTGATAACAAATGTTTTAAACTTTTTACCTATTTTTAGACAGAAAATTTGCATTTATTAAATCTATTCAAGCTATAAAAATTTTAGATGCAAGAAAAAGAACAACACTAACAGTGTAACAGCCTGAACTTTCAGGAGCATTTCTGCCTATTTCAAACTCTTCATTTTTTAATACTAAATGGCACCGAATTTTATCTGCTAGATCATTTCTTGCCTTATCATTCGCTGTACAATCCAATGTTCGATATTCTGCAATCGTGATATTTTAAATAATTTTATTATTATTATTATTATTATTATTTTGCTGAAACATTTAGTCCTGAAATAAGTGATAAGTTAATCAACTTATATTTTTGATTAAAGTATTATATGAATGAATTTGTAATGAAAACATACGGTGGAAAGCGATGGCTGTAGCAACAAATGTTAGAAGAAGAAATATTCCTTGAAAAGACATAGAGATTCTATTCTTTGAACAATATTAAATTTAACAGGTGCTGTTGATGAGATAATAAAATTGGAAATTCAAGGAGAAAGCTTTATATTTATCAGAAACAGGCCAAGTTTAATAGTGAATTTGGTAAGAATTTTAGTGAAAACGGATGAATAAACCAGTCCGAAGATTAAAAAACCTCATTAGATAAATACTGGAAGATTTATTTTTAAGTAAAATTTCTCTTTATTCAAGGTAAGAAGTATTTATGTTATCCGTCAGAATTGATGATGTGAAAATCTTTCCTTGCACACATTTTCAATTCTTAATTAACAATAGGACTTGTTTTTCATGTTATCCTTATATGTATGCACAAATACATTCTTGACCTACTCACTGTATTATATCTTCTTTCAATGAACAAAAATATATCATTTGTTCATTATAAATTAGCAGAAAAGTAAGACCATTTTAAATCATAGTCAGAGTATTTCATTTTTATTGCAACTTGAATGACATCAATTACATAAATTAGGCATATATTGGTACAGAATTATTGCTGTAATTCATATATAAATTTAAATAAGTTATTATTTTATTATTCATAATTTAATTAAGCTTTTTTAATTTAAGTTCTCATTTTTGAAATGAAATAAATGCCTTGAGCAGGCAAAAAATAGCATGATGTTAAACTGTTAAAATAAATACTTTTTCCTTGCATTAATTCAAAATGATTCTCAGCATAAAATAATACTTAAAAGTAATGTTTCTTTATTTTGCTAATTAATCTGATAACTTAACGAAAACACTTCAATGACGCTTTTTTAGAATAGCAAAAGGATAGAATGAACGATTAATTTAAAACTCTAAATTAAAAATCAACATCTTTGCATGTCATGTTATCGTTTAAAATTTAGATAAATGATTGCAAATTGTTAAAATATTGGTAAAATGAAAGATAAATAAATATGTAGGATATTGAAGAAGGTTAGGCACTAAAAAAGTGAAAACTGTGAATTGACTGTTTAATATCTACTATTTAATGATAAATCAAATTTAGCACTAAATTTGGAAAATTCATTTGGATCAGCGTCAGATTATAAAGTTCGCGAAGGTTTTTTTTTGCAAAATTATCGTTCTTAATAATTTTGTTAATGAACTTTTTATTATGACTAAGAAAAGAATTTTTCTTCGTCATTTTCATCAAATGATTACAATGACCACTGATATAAATAATTTGAAAAAAAGTGTAAATAACACATATTTTTGTGCCTCAAAGAAAACTATTTAAAATTGATTTTAATGCAAAATACTATAATATTTGATTACTTCTCTGAGTTTTCATTTTATATACAATATGAATTAGGCTACTAACTTCTCATTTTTTAATTTTTGTTTAGCTCTTTCTGACTTTTTAAAAATTTGAAAATGCTTTGCTAAAAATAATTCAAAAAGATGAAATGCAATGGGGTACAAAGCTAGTGCACAAATAATTTATAATTATAATATAAACATTGTTATTTTAGTATTTTGTAATATGAAAGAGACGAATGGATACTCTAATTTATCATTTTACCGTATAATTTTGAATGGATGAAAAACTTTGTTTTTTAACAGGATTTCTATGTCAACAAAATGGTTTTTGATAGATTATGTACTAAAAACTTATCAGTGTTTGCTTTTCATTATCAGTTCATGCATATAATTAAAAAAAATATCTTTATTGATATTAAAAATCTTTTCCAAAAAAGACATGATAATTTTTGTTAGAATATGCTTACAGTCTATAAACGATTCTCTACTTTATTCAAGTTTGATTTGTACTGAAAAAAATAATTTCTGATCCATCAGATCAGTTTTAGAGAATTGAAAAGTTCTAAAGCTAATCTTAAATACTGTTTTAGATTTCAGAACTTCAGAAAATGTATGCAAATCCTTTTGCCATGAAATTCTGATTTACATTTACCAGTATCTATCTAAATGAAAAATAAACCAAAAAAAAATGCCACAAATTTAAAAATAGGAAGACAAAATGATACTATGTCAATAACTGGATTGCATCAGTTAAAAATATTTCTTAGTCAAGAAAGGTAGAAATACAACTTTGGATAATTTTGAGTATATACAACTGTACTAGAAGACACAATGAGATCATACAATACATCTATTTGGGACTCTGCAAGAAGTATGGTCTGGAAGCATTCTCGCGCTTGCGAAGCCATTCTGTTCAGAAGGTCGTCACGAATG